TGAAAGGGACTTAGAATCTCTAGCACTTGAAACTCACAGTATATAATAATAAACAAATATAAATATGTAGCATAAACATAAATAAACATATAGAAATAAAAATTAAAGGGCAATTCAAACCCTTTTATTTTCAAAACTATGCATATTAGTTTGGTATTATTATTTGAAGTTTATTGTGTCAAGTCTAATCAAAGAATTTAGATGGTTTAGAGTGGAAGAAAAGGACATTTAAAAGGCATTCTGTTAGCTTTTTTACTTATTTTTCCTAGTAAAATATCTGGCTACTCTTTTAGGATCCTATGGGGAAAATAGTGTAATGCTAATAAGAGACCCAATAAAGACCATCGTCATTCCATCATATATCTTTCAGACAGGATCTTCCATATTTCAAACTTTTAATTTTCTATTCCACGTCTTCTTTTCTATCACTTTATGAAGCATGTTTTGAATTGAGATGACAAAGGCAGCATATAGAACATCAAGAGAGAAATGAAATGAAAGTTTTTAGTTGTACACATTGACCCAGTCCTGCATGAGAAAATTGGGTGGATTTACTCCTTTTTACATTAGTAACACTATGGTTTGAATATCAAGCCTTGAATGTGTTCTCCTGTGGGCTCACATCCTAATTTCCAGTGCAAAAGCATTATTTTTGAAGATGCATTTGCTAGAAGCAGTCAGCAACTCCTGTTCTTTTTGTAGACATGTCATCCACTTTGGTAGTGCTTAAAATAAAGTACTCAGATAGAAGGCAAGTTGAAACAGACAACAAGCAATATAATACAAAATGTTATGAGTAAAGTGTGTTACTCAGATCCTTCTAAAATACACTTCCCCCTTTATTTTGAAGGCCATGGTATAGGCAACTTGGCTAATGGAACCAGTCTCTTCCTTTGATCATCAATAAGGTTATCTTTTGGGAAACTAAGTCCCAGCTTAGATGACAGTTTTAGCTGAGACTGACATGAAAGAGAAAGGGACTGTTTAATTATTAGTTCCCTGAAAAGCATGTCTTTTTTCTCTTTAAATTAATAATTCTTCAGCTGAAACCACAAGCATGAGTGCCATCAGATCTTTCAGGTGGGGAGGGGAGGAAATTCATTTGATCTTTATTTTTATTTATTTATTTATTTTACTCTGGGCAGTGTGCAGTATCTGGCTGCATGTGTCCGCCTTAAAGATGATTAGAGCCTGCTGGTCTTGGGTGATTTTTGTCAAATGAAAATTTTGAAAAATGCAATGTGGGTGAGTCTATCTAACCTCCCGACTCTTAAAGAAAGCTTGGGAAGGTATGTGGCAAGGAGCATCACATACAGTAGGTGCTCAATGAATGCTCAGAGCAATGGAATAAAATGGATGGATGAGGGTAAGATTGAGAATGTGCTAGACTGGTTTCAGCAGCTGCTTTCCATTTCTCTGTGTGTCTGTCTATATTTGAAAGGAGTAACAGAGACTATCGCAATTAACTACACATGTGCTGTACAGTACAGTAGCCATGAGCACGCTGTGGCTATTGAGCACTGGAAATATGGCTAGTGTGAGTAGAGTATATACACTGGAATTTTGAGAATTTAATATGAAAAAAGGAATGCTAATAATATTTATATTGATTACATGTTGAATAATAATATTTTTGTATATCGGGATTAAATGAAATACATTAATGTCTCATCTGTTTCTTTCGCCTTTTAAAATATGACATACTGCTTTTTAAATTTGATAAGCAGAAAATTTAAAATAACCTATATGGGTCATATTATCTTTAGTGGCCAGCAATTGGCCTAGACTTCAGAGACAAACCAGGCAATGAAACATCTCTGTTTTTAAAGGGGAAATAGCTTCTCTGCTCCCTTTTCCTGCTGCAGACAATCTCTACTCCCTAAAATATAACACTGAATCCCCCATCCTCGGGCTGTCCCGGGGCCTACGCGGGTTGGGAGTAGCGAGAGCACGGAGCGAGGGGGCGGGAGCGATGCTTCCAACATCAATCGCTGGCTTTGCAAGGCTTCTCCCTCCTACCGTAGGAATAAAAGAGAGGGGCTGGAGACCCCGGCGCCCGCCTTCTCCTCTTGGCGGGAGGAGGACAGGCCAGACCAGAGCTGTGCGCTGAAGTCTGGGCTGGTTTTAATAACTCTAGCATTCCACCCCCCCCCCCCCCCGCGGTTCTGACCTGGAGCCCCGCCACTGAGGAGAAACTTTCTGCCGTTCCGAACCCGCCAAGCAATTTCCCTGGATCTGGCTCTAAAAGGAACGTGAGGTCAGGACGGGACTAGAATCTTGAGGACGAACCTTCTGCATACCCGCCCATTGGCGCGCACGGCTCAAGCTCCAAGTGCCGGCTGTGTTAGCAGGGCACCGTAGGCAAAAGCGGTCTCTCTCCCTCAGGGATAAAGAGACGACGGTAGAATCCCCACCGGCGCCTGCACTACGGATGCGGGTTCCGCCTCCGAGCCCCGCAGGGGTCTGCTTCGGTCCTGGCGGCGGTGCTGGTACTCTCTCCGGCTCGCAGCTTTGTTCCCCAGCGTTGCTGAAAGGGAAAAGGGAAAGAAAACGCTGGCGATAGCGAGGTCCTGCCTCTTTCTGTAGCGAACCAGTTTCCTCCCTGTTTCTCACTTCTTAGGTTCCTACTGGGGGCTTAGGCAAATGTGGGGCAGCTGGGTTGCTGGGGGAAAATCTCAAGTCTTTTTCCCTCGGCAGCTCGGCTCTCGGAAAGGCTAGCTCCTGCAAGGGAACACTAGAGAAGGGAGAACCCAGTATGCCTCCCCTTTTGCCACCACTTTGGGCTTCGCAGCCAAGGAGCGAGGCCTGGGGCTATAGCCTTAGCTTTGAGGGAAGAGCGGAGTGCTGAGTTTAGAGATACAAAATAAAGGGAGAGTGAAGGCCATGGAGGCAGTCCGCCTCTCCCTGTCCCTCCTGCGATGTTTTGAACAAGGGGATGGCAGATGTGTAAGAGGGATTTGCAGTGACTTGGCTTGAAGACAGGCACCCAAAGACGTTTATACTGCTCCTGCTCCGAAAGGGACAGTCAATAATCTTTCGTCTGCCTCTGTAGCAGAAGTTAGACTCCGCCCTGAAAAAAACTGTAATCCCGCCCCCAGGCTAGTTGCAAACCTGTGCTCTCAAGTAAAGGGTGCAGGCGCAGGCCAAAGTCTGGTTGTACATCCACCTGGCCCTCAAAAGCCTCTCAGCCGTTAGCGTATGGGGAGACATACACTTGCGAGAAACGGATCTAATCAGCTGCTTTGGATGGTGGTGGTCTTTTACCAGTTTCCACCTTCTTAGTCTCCCTCCAGCCCAATAAAGGATGACTGGACCAGCAATAATGGCTAGAGAACAACTTTTTGAAAAGTCAGCTGACTTACTTTCCATGGTCACTTGCTCTCCTTTCCTCAGTTCTTACCATTATAAACTTAAAAAAATGAAACCAATCAACAACAAAACCCCACACATTTCAGACTCCAGGACAGTGTTCTGTCTTCATTTAGATGCCTCTTGTCAAGATCTTATTTTAAAGTCTCCCCCACCGTGCTTCCTCCTTCCTTGTACCCTCCTTATCTATTTACCATTTACCAGTTCATCTGTATGGAATAGGATGCTTCCACTTCCTGGAGCACTGTAGTTTGGGGCCTAATTGATTCTGGTAATTAATTTGTTCTACCTGCTAGATCAGATGGAAATCCTATCCATGCACCTAAGGATTAGCACTTGGCTTTCTAACGCCTCCTCTAATTATCTAATAGCATGGGTTGTGAGGACTCAGTCTCTATTAAAACACTTTTGCTATTAGCAGTAGTGATTGGAATTGTGATGACGACTAGATTTCAATAAATTAGAGCTTAAAAATGGGGAGATGGAAGAGAAGTGCCTTCTTTTAATTTCCCTGAGTTTAACATCAATAATTAGAGCAATTTTTGGAGATGCGAGCCAAAATTACCCCTGCTGTGTTGTGGATGATCACCTTAATTTTGGCAAATTGACTTCTGGGAAATAAATGTGACAGATTGGAAAAAGACAAGGGGAAAAAGATTAGGAAGGAGGGGAAAGGAAAGAGGCTAGGGAAAGGAAAAGAGGGGGGGACCCTGTATAATTATTTGAGGGGTTGGGGTTGAAAGGACTGTAACAGCAGAAGCAGCAAACTATATGAGTGAAATGAGGAGGAAGTAATGGAAATTTCAGGGAACGTGGAGGATGGCATTAAAGGGTGGCTTTGGACATTTTTAAACTGACCAAATCACTTGAATAATCTAGACGTAGATTTTTCTCTCACCCACTCCCTATAAGTGAGGTCAAGAATGTTAAGATCATTTTTACTTATCTCAATAATCCAGTCATCTCTCCTATCAATTTGAGATGAGTCTAGCTACTTAAAATAGTGGACAATTTTCTCTTTACTTCTCCCCTTCTCCTTTTGCCATCTATTATTGAATCTCTTAAAACTCTAGGCCCAAATGCCTTGAATAAGTGCTTTATTGCTATGGGGTTCTTTTAATGTCTCTTCTCTAAGGTGGGAGGAGTTTGTTGGACAACAGAGACTTTTTTCTTTTAGTTTTTCTCTAAAAGACGACTGGGAAAAAAGCAGCTCTTGCGATGTATGTGCATGGGGGGCTGGGGCAGAAATTGAGGTCCAGAAGCCTCCTAGGAACCCGAACCCAGAAGGCTCCACTCTCTCCAGGCTCAGCCAGGCGTATTCAGCACCGCGGACAGATCCCCGCCCCGCCCCAAGCCCACCTCACCCTCCCCTCTGCCTCCGGCAGCCTCGCCATTGGCTCTCCCGGCTCCCCTCTCGAAGCTGCCAATTCTCCAGCACATAGACCCAACCTACCCAGGATCTTGTCTTCTCGCCTTTCCAGTGCCCGGGATAGTCCAGGCCGAGAAGAGAGCAGTGGAGATCTGAGTCTCGGAGAAGGGTTGTCGGATCTCCACCAGGCTTGCTGAGACACTGCCTGCTTCACACACTTTATCCCCGGCCTTCGCCCTGTGGCAGGCGCTCCGCGCTCAAGATGAATCTCAACTTCACCTCTCCTCTACACCCGGCGTCTTCTCAGAGGCCCACATCCTTCTTCATCGAGGACATCCTGCTGCACAAGCCCAAGCCGCTGAGGGAGGTGGCCCCTGACCATTTTGCCAGCTCTTTGGCTTCCCGGGTGCCTCTACTAGACTATGGCTACCCCCTCATGCCCACACCTACCCTCCTGGCTCCTCACGCCCATCACCCTCTGCATAAGGGAGACCACCACCATCCTTATTTCCTTACCACCTCCGGTAAGTAGCAGGGGCCTTAATGTGCGGGGAGCAAGAGAGCAGGCCTTCTAGCACAGTCCCTAAGCCTGTGATAGAGCTAAGGAAAGGCCAGCTCTGGGTTGGCCTGGCTTGGTCCACCCCCTACCCCGCTATCAGTAACAATAGAGGGTTGGGGACTTGGCTGAGAGCACGCAGAGCTCCCTTGAAGCATACCAACCCATGGGGACAATTTGTGGTCTCTCTACACTTTTTATAATGGAGATACATCTGGCCAAGAGACAGCTAGAGGTGAATGAGTTTGACATATTACTGGAGGGCAGTGCTCAGTTCCACTGGTGATCTTCCTGGCTACTTTGGCCCATGTCTCTATTCCAATTCTTCACCTCTCCTGGCTCCAGGAGACCCTTGACAGTCCCCTCCCATGGAACTAAACTCAACTTTCCAGCTCCGAAGCCGGAAACTTTCCACTTGGCCAGCTTTCTTCTTCCAGGCGCGGAACATTGGCAGATCCTTCAGAGGATATAGAAGTGAATGAGGGTTGGGATAGTCTGAGGGAAAAGGGGTTGGACTGTCCAAAATAAGGGCAGAAAGGATAAGAAACAAAGGAAGAGACATGAATTTCCTTAACTCTCTTCACTCTTAATGTTTTAGCATTTAATTTAGGATCTTAAGCTAGGCAGTCCTCCCCTGCCTCAGATGCCAGAGTCGCTGGAGCCGGGTGCTAGCAAAGTATTTTGATTTCTGCAACTTGGTAAGGGTAGGGATTAGCAAAATGTGGTTGGCACAAGAAGATTTGGGGAAATATCTACCGATGCACCCTGTCTTTCTCTGAAAGGACACATCCAAGGCTTTCTTCTCTAGAATTTTCATTCCAGCCAGAATAATTTGTTTAGTCCAGATGCTGAGTACAGCAGTGGAAACAATCTAGTCAGGGCAAGAGCTGGGAAAAGACAGGAGACAATCTATGAAATGTGGGCACTAGTATCCAGGACAAAAGAGAAAAGTGTGAAGCTGACTCTCAGACACTGTGTTGGAGAGAAGAATCTAAAATTCATCTTGAGGTCCACATCCTCTATTTGTTTCACCATCTGAGTGGCATCAGTCTCCTGTCAGCTATGCTGTTGTTGCCCCCATGTAGCAATGGCCAATGTCTGTGGTACTGGACCTGTTTGCTTTGTGTGTTAGTTCCTCCACCCCTTCGGGGATTGGCAGATATTTGGTATCTGCAGCAGCTTCTGTCTGCTTAGTTCATCTCTCACACTGTAAGGCCTGGGAGGGTCAGAAAAAACAAGAGAAGTCTCCCCTGACCGAGCAAGGAAAAGTGCTCTGTCCTTCCGCTTTGCTTACTTTGGAGTCAGAAAGAAAGAACAAGGACCAGATTAGAGAGTAAGGTTGTAACTGCAAAACTGACAAGGAAATGTGAAAGGAGGGTTTCCGAGCTTCTCTGGATAAGAGTTTTGCTCTCTTTGGTTGCAGGAGGGTGGGGGCACTTGGGAAAGAGATTTTTTTTTAATTTACTGAATTCAGGAGGCAAGATCATACCTTTCCTTTTCATGCTAGCTTCTTTACACAGCACTAAGTGTTATCAGTGATTTGGGTGGGTACAAGTGGACATTTCCCAGAACCATCTGATGTTTTCAAGAAAACTTTTTCAGGTGCAACAGACCACTAGGTGCAGGTAGACCCGACAGAAGTCTCACTTCAAAGAGACATTTAAAAAAGATTTCCAGATCTGTTTTGTCGTGTTATTTTCCATTTTAGTTGCTGTTTATTATTTGTATTTCTAGATGGCCTTCTAGAAAAAGATCTCTAAGCGCTATTTTGCACTTCCCCACTCCCACCCCCATCTTGAATTCTTGTGAAAAGGGCGCCAGGAGCTTTGGGACAAGCAGGAGACTGGACTGGTGGAGGCCAGAGGCCAAGGGAAGCGCTGGGCACTAGAGGTGGGGAGTGGAGGAGAACGGAGGTTGCTTCCTGGTGATCTGGTCTTGGCTACCTGGCTGTTCTTCTCTCTGCAGGGGTGCCGGTTCCCGCGCTGTTCCCGCACCCCCAGCACGCGGAGCTGCCTGGGAAACACTGCCGCCGCCGCAAAGCTCGTACAGTTTTTTCTGACTCACAGCTCTCGGGTTTGGAGAAGAGGTTCGAGATCCAGCGCTACCTGTCCACGCCAGAGCGGGTGGAACTGGCCACTGCCCTCAGCCTATCGGAGACGCAGGTGGGCCGGAGGAAGGGGAGTCCTTGATCTCTGCTTCACTACTCTCTCCCCTTAACTCTTAACTCTTCAGGACCCATTGAGGAACTCTTCGAGTGGTAATGAGCCCGTTCCCCATTTTTCTAGGCTTTCATTTTTCCAAGATCATTACTAAAAACACAGATACCCCAACTTCACTCTAGACTTTCCGAAACAAAGTTACTCCAGTGCGTCTCTACGTGAAGAAAAATCTCCTCGGGTGATAAACTAGATGGTTTCTTGTCTGGAGAAACTCATACAAGGAGGTTTTTTCCCCTTCTTATTTCAATCTGTATCGCAGCAGCCAGTCTTCACACGCAGCCCCACCCAAGCCCCAACACACACTGTAGTTTAAGCCCTTTCTTTCTATTCCCTTGTCCTGGGTGGAATAATTGTTTTCATTTAGCTCCAGGGGATTTTCACCTGCAGGCCCCAAACTCTTTCCTCTAGTCCCCCTCTCTCATATATATCCGGAAATGGAACTTGCTGTGAAATCATCAGATCTGTCAGGTCTGGGTATGATTTCTTTCCGTGAAAACTAGCAAGTTCAGTTCTCATCTTTCTGTCCAGGTGTTTTGCTGGACCAGGTATTTAGATATCTCAATCAAAGGAACACAAATTGAATTTACAAGAGAATCGTCTACACAGCACTTACTATTAGTAATTCTGATTAATAACAGTATTGATAATCACTAACCACAACATTTGAATCCTCATCATTATTTTCGGACAATAAGTTCTGGGAGCCATAGGACGTTTGATTCTCATTCAACCTAAAACCATAATTTGTGAGCACTTTATTTAGTAGTTAACCCTAGTGAGGCGGCCACAGTTCTTGGTAATTCGTCAATGGATTGCTGTCCGTTTTCCTAACCCCCAGCAGTCGCTCAGATTAGTGTGGGTTTGGAAGAATGACACGATTTTGTTTCTGTCGCTCCGAAATCAGGTGAAAACGTGGTTCCAGAATCGGCGGATGAAGCATAAAAAGCAGCTGAGGAAAAGTCAAGACGAGCCCAAAGCTCCAGACGGGCCTGAGAGCCCTGAGGGTAGTCCCCGTGGTCCAGAGGCTGCAGCCGCCGACGCTCGGCTGAGCCTGCCCGCCGGCCCTTTCGTGCTGACCGAGCCAGAGGACGAGGTGGACATTGGGGACGAGGGGGAGCTCAATTCCGGGCCGCAAGTGCTCTGAGTCGTCAAGCTGGGAAGGGGAGGCGGGAGAGGACACTGCCCCGCCAGACGCGCTTTTCTCCCGAACGGGAAGACTGGGACTCCGATCTTGCAGCGGGCGGTGGAGATCAGCTGCTGGAAGACCAACAAAACCCACCTGTCAACCCCTCAGCGGGTGCGGAGCCAGCGCAGCCCGGGACTGGACCGCACGCCCCTCCCCGCCCCAGCCCTGTAAATTGCCGCGAGCGAGTGAGCGCCTGGGTTCGTTCATTCCCGCGCCCCACGTCTTCAGCTGCGGGGATCCCCCCACAGCGTGGCCGTCTCTCTGAACTTGGGCTTTCGGCTCTCTAATTCGATGGGGGAAGGTTTTTCTCCGCCGCAAACGCACAACCCCTTCTCTCTCATTTCTTAGCCACCTGCCCCCAGATCTGTTTCCGGGTTTCGTGGTCTCCCCACCGGGACTCTTTGCCCTTCCTTAAGCAATTCAGCTGGCAGCGGTAAGGGACCAGGTGTCTGGGGGCCTTCTGCTCTGCAGGGATTCAGGCAGAATCACAACCTGATCCTTAAAAGGTTCAGTGCCAGGACAGACTCGCGGGCTGTTCCTCACTAACCTTCCGCTCACATCCTACCCCTCACAGCTCATCTCTAATTCAAATACCTAAGTGACTCCCTCCTTCTCGGACGGCGCTTCCATCCTCTCCGGTCCCAGTTCTCACCGAGAGCTAGCGGATCTGAGTCCTGGCACTCTTCCTGAGCTTGTGGTTCCCGGGCGAGGATGCTTTTTAAGCTCTCCCTGCCCCATATAGAGCCGCGCTTTGCCTCGCGAGAAACTTGGGCAGAGAAAAATTCGTGCAGCAATTTCTGCTTCCCGAACTTGTTGCGCTTCTGTCCTGCAACTCTTCCAATACCCCACGGGCTACTGATATTTTAAAAGTGAGTGTCCTCGGGTTGTGTGTGGAAGTGCTCATTCTCAGTGCATTTTGGGTTATGCAGAATTTTAGTAAGGTTAAGGACAATGGCCTTAGTTATATGTTAATAGATTTATGACTGAGGTTAAAGGGGTTCTGGGCGTGCACCTGTTTGGGGACTATTGAGGTGCGGTGAAGATCTGATCGCCTTGAGCGTTATCCCTCTTTTCCCCCTGCAAGGTCTCCTATTCTGTTACTGGGTTTGCAGTCTCTTTAGATAATAAAGGGCTCGCCGGGCGAAACTGGGAACGACCACGCGTTTCCGGGAACCGTTTGTTCTCTTGTCCTCCAACGCGCACGCCTTCTCCCCTCCGCCCTAGGCAATTTCCTATTCCCGTAGAAGTGAACTGGGCTAGTGACCTTTCGTTAACAGATTTCTTCTCCCCACCCCGGTTTTTGTGTTTTCAATCGTTTGATTAATGGTATTGAGTCCCACCTACATGGAAAAGTTCACCGCAAATGCCATTTTATCGCTCCGAACCGCTGGAGGGAAAGGAATCTCTTGATGTTTGGAATACGAGATTTTACTAATGAATTGTGTGACAACACCGTCATACTCAATACACTTTATCAAATACAGCAGCCGTGCTGAAGGCGACCTCGGCTTTCGATTTTCCGTTGGCTTCTGGTTGTATCTTTACGCATGTGAGCCCAGGAAGACTGGAAAAGAGTGACTGTGGCTGGTCGGGTTCCAATGACGAATAACAGTATATAGACTACAGTGGGGTGAGCTTGGGTTACTTTTAATCCTAAAGATCCTTTTGGGTCTAAGTTCTATGATCCTATCAATGTGGCAATAGGCTTGAATACAAACAACAATAGTGTTATTGAGAAAACATTATATAAGGCAATGATGAGTGCCAGAGTGAGAGATTTACCCAATCTGTATCATTTAGGAGGCAAAATTAGTATTTCTAAAATATAAACGCCATATAGTGTTCTGGAATCAATCCGAAAACTTGTAAGTTACATATGATCAGCATTATGTTCCCCTTTCACAGATGAGGAAATTGAGGTTTGACAAGATTGAAGAATTTATCCATGAAATGTGGGCTAGCTAAGAGCCAAAGAGGGAAAAATATCTCCTCTAACCCCCTCCTTCCCTTCTTTTCTCATGCACTTCATTGTCTTCTGGTAACAATGAATCAGTTGGCATTTTGCCTCACTTCATAAGAACACTACTCTCATTTCTTTAGATCCTGTAGATGTGGCTATTAAAAGCAAATTCAGGCTTAGATATCTTCCTTCCATCTCTGTTCAGTTAATGACAGGACCCTTTCTCCCCCACCCTGTGTGTTTGTATTTTGCTGGGGACAAACCAGGGCCTCCTGCCTGCTAGCCAGGTGCTCTACCACTGAGCCATATCCTCAGCCTGACAGTACCATTTAAAGAAGGATTTACTTATAGCAAATGCTTTACAATAAAACAAAAGACTTGGTTTGAGAGGAAATAAGTGTTTCATGAATAAGAATGTCGGGGTAACCTGGAAGGGAAAGTAAATATACAAGAACATGGAGGCAAGGGAAAAATACCAAATTCTTCTAATCCCAGGAAGAACAACCACTAATGGGATTTAAGAAGAATCTTTAAAGTGAGTAGTACTGTTGTATATTTGGGGAAGGATGTAGTGTATGTATGTGTGTGCGTGTGTGTGTGTGTGTGTGTGTGTGTGTGTTAAATTAGATGATGAATACAGACTCAAAAGTACCAGGCACTATTTTTTTCCTTCTCTGGTCTTCACAAGAGACCAGGGCTTTTTCTGGGTCCATACAGAGCAGAATAAATTTATTTCTTTTTTAAAATTTTTTAAAAATTTATATATGACAGCAGAATGCATTACAATTCTTATTACACATATAGAGCACAATTTTTCATATCTCTGGTTGTATACACAGTATATTCACACCAATTCATGTCTTCATACCTGAACTTTGGATAATAATGGTTATCACATAAATGTATTTCATAACCTTTTGTTTTGAAAAAAAGCAGGCAAATCGGAAACACTGTTAGCATAAACACAGCTCTACCTGATTGGAGGCAGAATGAGTCCTGGAGTCCAGGTTTAATTCTTGAGAACTAAGAATAGGAAGATGGTTGGTCCCCTCATCCTGGTCTCTTTATGGATGGCTGTTCCTGGCTGGAATGAAAGGGAAGGGAAGAGTACAAATTGCAACACTGGCCTTGCTAACCAAGGCATGGTTCTCTCACGAAGAAAAAACAAAAACAAAAAAACCCTGAGATTGGTGACAAATAATCCAATAGCAAACTTCTCTCAGTCCCATCTCTCCTTCTTTTTTAATATAAGGGGTTAGTGATGATGGTAGAGGATAGATACAATTTAGTCTCAATTTAATGTAACATGACAGCACTTCTTGTTTTTGGCCTTCAATGCTGATCAAAGCCTCCATAGGCTGAAAAGGTATTTCGTCTGAATTACCCAGGCTTTTGCCTCAACTCAGTTTCACTTCATGGTGAAGATCTGACAAAACTATGTTCATTACGATATATTACAGGAAGACACATAAATTTGATTTTGGAGTGACAAACGCATCTTCAAATAGCTAAGATAGGCAAGTCATCCCACATTGAATCCCAAATATAGTATTCCCCCCCCCCATATTTGTCACTAATGTTTTGCTTCTGATAGACTTCATTTCATAGATTCTCAGAAAGAGATTCTTGCTAATATTCCTGCACACATAAGAACATAAGAAATGGAGTTCAGCATGGTGGCACATGCCAGTAATCTCAATGACTTGGAAGGCTGAGGCAGAGGAATTGCAAGTTCAAGGCCATCCTGAGCAACCCAGTGAGACCCTGTTTCAAAATAAGAAATAAAAAGAGCAGGCATGTAGCTCAGTAGTAGAGTGCTCCTGGGTTCAATCCCCAGTACTACAAGGAAATTAAAAAAAAAAAAAAGAAAAAAAAGAAAAGAAAAGGAAAGAAAAAGAAAGAACAAAAGAAATGGGTGACCTGCCCAGTATTAGCTGACAGTGACCCTAATAATTTAAATGAAATCCATGACACCATTTCAAGAAATAGAGAGCTGACTTTCTTGGATGTATTTGATAATTAGAGATACAGGGATGTGGAAAGGCAGAGCCAGCAGAACACTTTCTGGTGCTAAGAGAATTTGTGCAATAAACATTTAGTTGAAGGAGTGACTACCTAGTCTTCCTGATTTTAATTCAATATACAGGCAAAAATAATGAGTTGATTGGAATATTTTACATTTCATATTTTTGTTATTTTTTTCATCACATTTTAAAGAGGATGTTGATAAGCTAAAATTCATTCAATATACAGGAATCTGGATAGTAAAGATTATGGAAAACATCAAATAAAGGACTGAGCTTTTTAGCTTGAAATAAAAAGGCTTTGGGGGGGGGAGGAGGGGGAGGAGGTTAGCTATGGCAGCTACATTTGAATGGCTGCAGGGTTATTAATTATCTAGGAGTATATCCAGCCATGCTAAAGATGTTATTGTGTTTCCAGGGAAGAACCTGGAATAATATTTGAGTACTTCTATAGCCCTGGTACTTTGCTATCCAACAACAAAACAGGCTAAATCCACAATACACCAAGCACCTTTTTACTACAAATGTTTAAGCCATGGTTAGAAGGCAAAACTTAAGGGACTCCCTATTACACAGTTCTCCATCATTGGAAAGTTGGGCTAGATATCCTATATGATATTCTCTCTCTCTCTCTCTCTCTCTTTCAGTGCTGGTGATCAACCCAGGGTCTTGCACATACTAGGCAACTGCTCTTTCACTAAGCACACCCCCTCCACCCTACACTTCATGGGTCTTCTTAACCATTAAGAGCCCAGTATTCTATTTTATTTTTGTAGGAAAGGAACAGTAATTTCCAAGTTATTAAAATTATTTATCATCTTACTATAAGATTTCAGTTCATATATTAGTTTAAATGAATATATCCATAGCAATGAGGATTAAGAAAATAGGAAAGAGAAGAAAAGAAATGACCCCTAGTCTTTTTCATTCATTAAACAATTTCCAACACCTCCTTGTAGAAAACAAAGTAATGTTCTTTTAGGTTAAGGACCAAGATACAGTCAGGAGAAATTGTCAGCATTAGAAGAGACATTTGACAAAGTCTCATTCCTTCATTTTATACATGTAGGAAGTTAAATATCAAATATAATGTGAGCCTTGCAAAGTCACATAGACAGTGACAGAATTAAGACTAGAAGCCAGTTTTAATTATCATACTTACCAGTAACTCATGTTGTTGTGATAGGTTATGGTAGGGCTATTGTCATCCTGTCACATGGAGAAGATTTTTCATAGTGATTTTGGGTATAAAGTGTTTAAAAATTGTAGCTGAAAATTATTTAATAAAATCTTTGATCCACTCTTGAAAACCCTTCTGAATAAGAGCAATCCAAAACTTGAATCAGCTCTTCTGGGAGATACTGAGTCCCTGTGACCAATTCCATTCAAAACTAAGCTGAATAACTACTTGCTGGGATGTTTCAGAAGATATTCTTGGATCGATCCAATAGGATGAACCAGATGATTTTTAAAAGACCTTGAGTTTTGCCAGGCATGATGGTACAGGCCAATAATCCCAGCAACTTGGCAGGCTGAGGCAGGAGGATTGCAATTTTGAGGGCAGACTCAGCAATTTACCAAGGCCCTAAGAAACTTAGCAAGACCCTTTCTCAAAATAAAAAATAAAAAGGGCTAGGGATGTGACTCAGTTGGTTAAGTGCCCTGAGTTCAATATCTACTGCAAAAAAAAAAAAAAAAAAAGAAAGAAAGAAAAGAAAAGAAAAAAAATTGACTTCAAGTTTCCACTTTTCTTTAATCTAAAATATTTGACTTAATCTCTCTTAATTACAGATGAGACAAATGAGAAAGACTGCCTACTATTTGGTGAGTTACAGAATTAATACTTTGAGAGGTCAAAAATTTAATTCCAGTGAATATTTAGGATTGAGATGAAAATTCAAAATGATTTTTGTTTTTACTCTCCATTGTATTTTCTGGTTGCTATCCCCCCTCCCCTACATTTTATTTATTCTTTCCTTCTCAGAATTCCTAGTGCACACCTCCAGACAATCTGCCTCCATGATTCCATTCATAACAACTCCTCGAGTCTTCTCATACTGCTCCCTTTTAATATTGAAGAGCCACAGCTGGATTTGGCATCATGGCCATTGGTGAGATGGCTTGGCTTAGAGGCCTAAATTCTAATCCTGGCTTTACCAATGATAATATTACTTTTCTTTCGTGGCATTTGAAAAATGAGGAGAATACCCAATTAATGAGTTAAAATGGTGAGGGGATGAGAGATTAGAGCTGTGAAAGTACTTAAGGTGAGATCTTGGATGAAAAGATCTAAAGGAAGATAATTAACTACACTAGAGATCAAAACATATCAATGATAAAGTCCTTTCTGTCACACTTCACAGGACTACAGCTGTTACTATTTGTTAAGGAACAGGTGAGTCTTGTGTTCTCATCACATCATTACCAAGAGGTTATTGTGTCTCAGTATTTTTTGTGATACTATAGATTGAACCCTGGGACTCACACACACATGCTAGGCAAGTGCTCTACAAGTGAGTTGCATCTCTGACTCTTAATTTTTTTTAATAGCTTCATCTTATTTTCTTTTTGTCATTGTCCCACTTCTTGGGCTAAGGGAGGATTTGTAAGCCCTGAATGAAATAGGATCTGGAAGGTTTCACTAAAAATGTTTCATTAGGAGTACTCCTTTATCCCCCTAGTTCCTATCCTATCTACTTCCGGTCTCAGGTTTCTGTTATACCATTTTGTGACAGATATTATGATGGAAGGAATATTAGAGTTCAAATTCATGGAGACCTTTTTTTTTGGTACCAGGAATTGAACCCAAGGGTGCTTAACCACTGAGCAACATCCCCAGCCCTTTTTATGTTTTATTTTGAGACAGGGTCTTGATGAGTTGGTTAGGGCCTTGCCAAGTTGCTGAGGCTGGCTTTGAATTTGCAGTCCTCTAGTCTTGGCCTCCTGAATAGCTAGGATTACAGGTGGGTGCTATGGTACCTGGCCAGAGACCCTCTTAAGACAAAGACTCTCTTAAGTGACAAAAGAATTGCCTATGATTCCAGTCTGGAATATGTCATGGGAAATCAAAAATTTAGGTTTCTTTCTGAAGCTTCTTAAAGAAAATTTTAGCTTAAAAAACCCACACTTTATGAATAAATCTTTGTGACAAGAATAAGTAAAAGAACTGTTTTAAATTATTGATGAATATTATCTTTGGAGATTAGCTGAACATTTCTAACATTTATTCTCCTCCTAGCTTCCCTGGCTACAGTTAATGGAGTAATTGGGTGTACTTGTCAATATTCTAGCCAGAAGTTAAGAATGACCAGTAGTCTTCGTTCCTTACAGTGCTTGTTTGGGGATGGGAAATGAGCCACACACAACAATGGGAATAGGGATATATGGGTGCTCCCTGAGTTTCAAATGGGAATAATTTCAAACTAAAAACAAAAAATGAAAACCTGTAGGCTTGTTCTGCTCTCTTTCCATTTATCCCTTTCAACTCCAAAGCTCTCTATTTTTAATTATTATTTATTTTTTGCGGTGCTGGGTATTGAACCCAGGGCCTGTATATGCTAAGTAAGTGCTCTATCATTGAGCTACACCCTAGTCCTCTGTTTTTAATTTAGAAAATTTGGGTTTTATCATTTATCACACATTATTTAAAGAGGTCATGGTTCTATAAGGATTATTATTATTTTTAAAAAAGAGCAGTCCCTATTTCCTTCCCTGTTTTCTTTATTGCAGAGGCAACTACTTTCCATACTTTCCACTTTGGGCTGATAATTTTGATGGGTACTGGCACATTTCTAAGTGATTTCACTGAATTGCTACTTTCTGGGATTTCTATGTTAGTAATTATCTGGTACTTCATACTATGAAAGACAAAAACTTCATTTTCTTCCTCCTTTGCTCCCTCTAGGCATGTGGACCCTCTCCATCTCTCCTTCCAGTGTCCTTATTTCAGATGACTATTATGGTAGGCATATGCAATTCTCAGCTAAGTCAGCTAATCAATGACTTTTCTTTACTGCAAGACTTTTTCTTTTCTTTTGAATGGATATTTAGTTGTTTTTAA